ATACTCTACAGGTGTCTCCGTAGGTGTTTGTTGGGTTGGCATAGATCGATATTAGGATTTTTCACTCCGTGTATCGGAGAGGTATCTCTAGGCCCTCTCGGTAATGCTCATCACTATAAGCCTTGCAATGAATGTGACTAATGAGTTAGTTGCGGGATGAAGCATTACGGAACGAGTAAAGAGACTTGCCGGTAACGAGATTGAACTAGGTATGATGATACCGACGATTAAATCTCGGTCAAGTAACATACCGATGACAAAGGGAACAACGTATGTTGTTGTGCGGTTTGACCAATAAAGATTTTCATAGAATATGTAGGAGCCAATATGAGCATCCAGGTTCCTCTATTGGTTATTGATTGGAGATGTGTCTCGGTCATGTCTACATAGTTCTCGAACCTGTAGGGTCCGCATGCTTAACGTTCGATGAAGATTTGTATTATGAGTTATGTGTTTTGGTGACCGAAGTTTGTTCGGAGTCCGAGATGAGATCACGGACATGACGAGGAGTCTCAAAATAGGCGAGAGGTACAGATTCATATATTGGAAGGTTATATTCGGACATCCGAATGTTTCCGGGTGATTCAGATATTTTTTGGAGTACCGAGGGGTTACCGGAACCCCCCGGGGAAGTTTTGGGCCAACATGGGCCTAAGGGAGAGAGAGGGAAGCCCGCGGGGGGTGGCCGTGTGCCCCCTCCTAGGGAGTCAAGATAGGACAAGGAGGAGGGGGCGGCACCCCCCCTTCCCTTTCCCTCTCCCTCTCCTTCCTATTCCCTCCGGTGGAGAAAGGAAAGGGGGGACCGAATCCTACTTGGACTAGGAGTCCAAGTAGGACCCCCCCCCATGGCGCGCCCCTCCTGGCCGCCGGCCTCTCTCTCCCTCCTTTATATACGTGGGCAGGGGCACCCCAAAGGCACATCTATTGTTCTCTTAGCCATGTGCGGTGCCCCCCTCCACAGTTTACTCCTTCGGTCATAGCGTCGTAGTGCTTAGGCGAAGCCCTGTGCGGATCACATCACCAACACCGTAACCACGTCGTCGTGCTGACGGAACTCTCCCTCGACCCTTTACTGGATCAAGAGTTCGAGGGACGTCATCAAGCCGAACGTGTGCTGAACACGGAGGTGTCGTACGTTCGGTACTTGGATCGCTTGGATCGTGAAGACATTCGACTACATCAACCGCGTTAATCTAACGCTTCCGCTTTCGGTCTACGAGGTTACGTGGACACACTCTCCCCCTCTCGTTGTTGTGCATCTCCTAGATAGATCTTGCGTGATCGTAGGAATTTTTTTGAAATTGCATGCTACGATCCCCAACACATACCCGAAAAGTTATGCTTAAGTTATAGCTTCCTGGTAAAGCCATGGATACTGGTAGGGTTGGTACCCAAGGGAGGTTGTTGGGTAGAAGAGGAATTGGATGCATTTGCCACCCATGGCGTACCTCGCGTGTTAACGATAAGTATAACACTAGGTACATATGCGGCCATCCTAGCTTGTACTGTAGCCTCAATTAAAGCATCATTTTCAAGTTTTTGTTTTGCTAATGCATTAGTCAAATCCTCATGGGTGAATATCCTACCATCGTCATCCAATTGTGGGCCAACTTGTGCCTAGGATCCACAACACCCAGAAGCTCTGGACCCATCTTGAGCCATCTCGCTCTAGGGCGGTTAAGCCACAAGAATAGAGCATGAGGCTCTAATACCAATTGAAAGGATCGAGACTGGCCTAGAGGGGGGTGAATAGGTACAATTACAAATTTTAATTATTATTTAACAATTTTAGGCAATAACACAAAATATGAATGCGTGCCTAACAATTACAAAGGTGAATCTAGTGCTAGCAATATATTGAATAACAACTTAGTAGCAAGTTAAGCAAGCACAGTATGATATAAGTAAAGACAAGGAGACAAGTAATCACAAGTAAGGAGTTAGGGTTAGGGGTAACTGAAACTCCGGAGACAAGGATGTATGCGGATGTTCACTTCCTTGGAGGGAAGCTAGTCACCATTGGAGGGCTAAATGTTACTAAAAGGGCTCACTCTATTCTCCTTGAGACAACACCACAAAGGCGTTTCTCAAATACTAGTGGTAGACCTTGAGGTGGTCTCGAAACCTTCACAAATTGTCTAGGGGTAATCACAATGGACGATTCCTCTCCGAAGAATATATACTGCATAGGAGTTTCAACCTCCAAGAGTAACAAGACAAACACTAAGGATCCAAATCAAGCTCAAACACAAAAGTGATTGGTCAAAGTGTGGGGAAGGAGTGGATCTTGATTTTGATTGGTTCCCCTTTGAATCTCTGAGAATCAAAGCAACAAGGATTGGGACACTAAGAGGTGTATGTGTGGCGGTTGTGGGGGATATTTGCTCAAAGGGTAACCCTAGAACAAAGTGACTAGGGGTATATATAGTGGTGGCTAAAATGAACCTTCGCGGTCCAAAAATGCACTACCGAATAGTCGGGTAGATCTATACCGACAGTCTGGTCGATGAACTATTCATAGTGTTGACTGGAAATAGTGCACAATAGAGGAAAAACAACAACCGGGCCAGAGCCACCGGACATACTGGTTCAAAGGACCGGGCAATCCCGCCTGACTAGAGAAGAAATGCTGCCAGTCGAGGAGGGACCAGACGTCCGGTCAGAGGACCAGATAGTCCACCGATGCTCCACCAGACAGTCTGGTTGCACGACAAGACAGTCCGGTTTGTTTGTAAGAAATTTGCAAGAAACATGGACCGTCTCACATGCGTTGTTTCATAGGATCATACCTGTAACCCTCATGCCATCAGCTTCAAGGAACGCGCCGTCCACATTGAGCTTCGACCATCTGGGGGGTGGGGGCTGGTCCAATGATGCGGGACCTGACTGGTGACGTACAGGTTCTGCTTCGGGGTTTTGACGAATGTCCACGAGAACGTTGATGTAGCTTGACAGAAATCTCCAAAATGAATTTGTCATTTGGCGCTGTCTTCGAATGGGTGATCTCGTGGCGGACATGTCATGTGCGCCACATAGTCATGAGCACTGGGAGGCGTTCTTCCACGTTGCACCGGCCGAGGAGGCGCAGGAGTCAGTCCGGCCCGGTGTTGGTGATGTCCTCCAGGGCCGGCGTCCATGGCGTTCCATAGGTCCCGCGCATAGGGCATTTGCAGAAAACATGGAATGTATCCTCTGGGTCCAGTCCACAAAGCATGCATAACTTTTCGCAGCGAGTCTTCATTTCAAAATCACGACGGAAGAGCCATGGAGAGACAATTCCGGTACCAACATAGGCAAAGCTGCACAAGAAACATTTCACATGAGCAATTCGGGTCCTCACGTGCGCCGCTGCCATTTGCTCACAGTCACAGCCTGATCCGCGCAGACACGGCGGCGGCCGCACGAGCGTGGGGGGTCACAGGGTACTACGTCTGCCGGGCCACGCGTCATTTCTGCAGTGGGCGCAGCCAGGAAGGAGGAGCAAAGGATCAAGCGCCGTCCACGCGCGAACCCCCACCAACTCTGTGGCGTCCAAAACCTACATGCACCAAATCGACCTCACTTACCACTGGGGCGCTGCCTGCGTGCTGCGCGCTGACCCGCGGCTGTCAGTGACGGAAAGGGGCAGCGGGTACGACACGGACTGGGTGGTTAGGTAAAGCTGGACTAATCGTTATAAAATTAAACGGGTGGACTCCGCTAGGCATGATGAGCTACCGATCCTTGCCGTCCACGTGTACCCATGGGCCCTGAGTCCCGCGCACACCACCACCATGTACTCGCACATGTATGCATGACACATGGCCCCAACGTAGCCAGGCTCACCTGTCAGGGAGTACGGCCAAACATGCTAACGGAGGAACGATCGTTGAGAGGAAAGGGCGCCGCAACTCACCCCGAAATCGCGAGACCAACCCGAAACCATCTTCTCTGGGTCGCATTTCGGTGGGGTCGGCGGACCAAGCCCCACATGGCAGCCAGAGTGGTGGAAGAGGCCGGTGGTTTGGCCTGCCGAACGCGGATCGGTCGTATAGATTATGTGGTGCGGGATTAGCGAGCGATCGAGCTGTCCCCTACCTGTGTTGCTCTCCCTCCCCTCTCCCCCCCTCTCTCTCTTGCGCGCTTGCTTGCTCCCCTTCTCCGTGTGAGCGAGGCCGAGACGGAGCACCAGCGGAGGAGGGCTGTGCTGAAGAAGGCTGCGCCAGCGAGAGCTTGGTGACTGGGTACGTATCTCCCCTGCTCTTCGAGCTCCAAGCTTTAATTTCTCTCTCTTTTTCCCAATAGTATTCGTTCGCTCTCTGACTTTTATTTTCCGTGTGATTGCTGCGGATTTTGTTTACTAATTGAGCTCTCTGGGTTGGGGAGGGGGCCTGGGGTCAAACTTGAGGTATCTCTAGTATTTTGGTACCTAGTATTAGTTTGGTTCAGCTTGCTGTTGGCTGTTGGGCGTATGGTCTGATTTGTGAATTCTGGCCCGGAAGATGATTTTGTGAGTTCAAGCTTCGGTGTGATTACATATCTCCTGCTCCGAATTTTCTGTCAAAATAACATGGATCATGGCGGGAGCTTTGTACCGGGAAAGTGTGCATCCCAAATATCTAGAAATGAAGTTGGTGTTTGTTTGTTTGCGAGGTGGGATTAAATCTGTGGAGATATTAGTTTATCGGAGGCTGCTTGACTGTTGAATTCACTTGCCATATGACTACTACAGTATATTTTCTAAATAGTCTTCAGCTAGAGAACTATATAGGCGCAGCTTCGATGATAAAAGATTCATCATAAGAATTTGTTAAAAAAAAATGGACGCTCTTAATTTCTCGAGAACTACTAAAGTACTGTATTCTCTTTTCCACTACACTAGCCTTTAGATTCTTTTTTACTGGCAATACTTTTCTCCACTAATGTATTGAGTGATATCAAATGTCTCAACAGTTGGCCTTTTCCTACCTACTGGACCTGCAGTACTTTGAACATGCTTTTTGCATATCACTGCATTAAGGATGAATAAAATGTTAAGCACCGACTGTTTAGGGACGCAGGAGTTTCATACATTCCACAAGACCACTGAAATACTGGAAGACTCGCAACCTCAAGAGATTGCATTCCACGAAACAGCGCTGGGGTCAACGCTAGTAGATCATCAAAATGGTAAAGTCTGCTTAATTTTAATTCCAATCTACTTGGTTAGACTCGTTTTGATCTTTTCTCTCTCTCTCTCTCTCTCTCTCTCTCTCTCTCTCACTGAATTCTGGATTTTCTGCTTGGAATACACCTGTACTGTAGCTGCATTAGAGTAGTGACTCTTTCAGAACATAAACTTCCTTGAATAATATATAATCCTCAGGAACGTGTTATACTACTACTTTACTTTTATACTACCTTGCTTTAAAAATAGTAAATGTGTTAAATTGCCGGTGACTGAACGTCGGTCTGGATATCTGGATTAGTATAATATAGGTATATTAGATAATAAGAAATCGGAAGCTAGTTTTTGTTCCTTGTTGTACTTTTATACTGAATGAGTGTATCTAGCATTAACCCCTTTATACTCTGGCTGCTAACAATAAACACTACTGCTAAGTTCCAAGTCTATGTAACAAACCTTCTGTAGAAATGAAATACTGCAAGCGATAAGAGGTTGTTGCTTATGTTGTGTGCTGAGCTCAAAGATAAGAATGTTCATATATATGTCCGTCTCTCCCCAGCATCAAGTTGTCAAATTTACCTTCTGTTTTAGAAAGCCCAGATATTTCATTGCTCTATAATTAGGATATGCGTATGATGTTATTAATACCATTAATTAGTTGCATATGGATGTACGGTTCTCTCAAAGACGACAGTGAGTTCATGAGTTGCAATTTAATTTATTTATTTATTGCAGTTTGCTCTACTGCCGAAGTGTTGCAATTTAATTTAAATTTGTTTGCAGTCCACTCTACTGCCGCAGTATCAGCGGGAGACATTGGAATGGCTGAAGTCAGCTTGTTGCATGGTGAATCTGACACATCAGCTACCGGTTTACTGCCAGTGTCATTCTTGTCATGCAGTCCTAGATCTATGGTGATTAATCTTCTAGTTCGTTTAATAAAATTTAATTCCTGATAAAAAACATACTTCTATTTCTGGTCTCTGATAAGAAAATCACATTATCATAACTTATCATTATTTGGTTGATTTCCTCTATTTCTCAGAAGCAACTACGTACTTAGGTTCATATCTTCTTTTCGATAATGCGTAGACTCATATCTAGCATTGTGGTCCTATTGAAAAAGTATGCCGATCTAGGACCCATGCCAGTTGTAAGGATTATCAGCTAATTGCCACAGTTGTAGCAACTTCACTCAAGAACTATATTTGGAATTTGTGTGTTAGTTTTACTTTGGAATTAGATGACTCTTCATTGTTCTTTTTACCTTCATGTTAATAAGTACTCCCTCCGATTCTAAATATAAGCCCTTTTGGAGATTTCAATACGGACTACATACGGATGCATATAGACATATTTTAGAGTGTAGATTCACTCATTTTGCTCCATATATAATCCACGTTGGAATCTCTAAAAAGGCTTATATTTGGGAACGGAGGGAGCAATATCTTATTTCTTTGCTTAATAGTCATTACTACATACACTTGTCACAAGTTGAATACTAAATACTGTTGAGCTGACAAAAAAAATCAATATATTTTTTGCTTATGTTACATTGGGAAATCGAGAATGTGGCGGGCTAAATTTTTCGAAGCCAATTACATGTTTGGAAGTATAAATTAAGGAACTATAAACATGTAACATTGGTTGAAGTGATGAAACCATAACAGTTCAGTGATTGGGGCTGGAAATAACAAACCCATTCTCCTTAGCTGTGGTTGTTTTCTGCAATCCGCTTAGACACTAGGAGCTATCTCAGTTTAAGTTACTTAGACAATGATTTTTTTTTTCGAAAAGGGGGAAAAAACCCCGGCCTCTGCATCAGCACGATGCATACGGCCCTCTTATTAAAAAAAGAAGACTTAGACAATGATTATCAGCTGCCTTTGTAAAATCTAACAGAACGATTCCATCTTTGCTTTATTTATCCACTTCATCAGCCTAGAAGCACTGCTACTTATGTCAAAGTTATGAATTCTGCAGTATGGATTATTCAACTACTACTTAATATTTTTAGGTTCCAATATCAGTTCCTTCATCATCTAGCCTTGAAGCCATCCTAACACCTAATCCAATGTACAGTGATGTTCAGTTGAAAGAAGTGATGAACTACAATGCTACAGGTAATATGGCTTGACTTTCAACTCTTCCAATGATTTAAGTTGCTGGCTTGCTGTAGTATTTTAATTTTAGGTTTCATATCTTCAGCCTTTCTAGTGTTGTATTGGACTATATATTGCTCAAGTATATACGCATTTAGCTGCTTGCCTTTATCATGCTATCCAGTTCTTTATCTTACTATGTGGTATCTGAATGTGCTGATCTTCTCCTTATTCTGTCATTGCAGCAATGGATGAAAGCACTGAGTTCCTTCAGCTGATTCTTAGTGGCAATGATGAAGGCTACAATACTACAAGCGAACTGCAAGTTTGGGATGTTCTGGACTTCTACTTCTCAGAAAGTTTTTCTGATGTACAATTTGATAGCATAATGGGTTTTACAAGTGACGTCAGTACTTCCTCTCATGATTATATGATGAATATTGTTGACTTGGTAGAGCGGCCTGTGGCACTCCTGTCTCTCAATGAGACAGAGGAACCAAATAATGCAACCAATAAGGCTCCAGTCGATCACAGTACAATGGACCCTGATGACACATCCTTGTACCTTCAAATGAAACCACCAGATTCAGAAACTGAAAGTACTTCTGCCTCTCAGGATGTGATAGGAATTGAGTATGTTGATGAAAAGCTTCATTCTAGAGGTCTGCCTGATTTAATGGATGTTGACTCATCCAGTCGTCTGCGAAAATCACCAGTGAGAACAAAGCATGTCACTCTTGTGCTTGATTTGGATGGTAAGCAGGCAGTGTATTCACATCATTCAGTTATACTTCTGAAGTTTTCTTTCTTCTAGTAATTGTGACTTAAGCATGATGCCATCCTGTCTGCTCAGGGATTTGTAAGACAAGTTTATAGATATTTTAGGAAGCAAAGTTCATAAATCTACCGACTACATCGGCTGGAATTAAACTGCAAGAAAATTGATGATCAACTATTAAATAATAACCTGTGGGGATTTGATTATGCTCTCCTAAGATTAGGATTGTTTAAATCAATCCCTGCAAGCCCCATCAATATGTTGGATAAAGTGGATCCAAATTTCTGTTTCCTTTGAAATCTTTGATCATCCAGTTCACAGTGAATGGTTTTCTTTTTCTTTGTGGTGTCATAAATTTTTCAGTTTTTTATTTTAGGTCATGCATTAGCTCATTATCTTCAGCATTGCAAAATTCAGTTGTGATGTCAACATTCTTACTGCGATTTCTATTTTCTAAAGATGGTTTAACCATTTTTCATATGCAGAAACTCTTGTCCATTCAACATTGGATCACTGTGACATATCTGATTTCAGCATTCAAGTTTTCTTCAATATGAAAGACCATACAGTCCATGTGAGACAAAGGCCCCACCTGAAGATGTTCCTTGAGAAGGTAGCTCAGATGTTTGAGCTTGTCATTTTCACAGCTAGTCAGAGAATCTATGCTGAGCAGATAATAGATAGGCTTGACCCTGATGGGAAATTGATCTCGCAACGAATTTATCGTGAGTCGTGTATATTCTCTGATGGCAGCTATACAAAAGACCTGACAATTCTAGGAGTCCACTTGGCAAAAGTTGCTATAATTGACAATACGCCACAGGTAACATTCCTTCCAAAATACTGTTCCCTCCGTCCCAAAATTCTTGTCTTAGATTTGTCTAGATACAGATGTATCTAGTTTCTCCTTTGCAAACGTTGGCTAAAGGGGGAAGGATCCCTCCTTAACTGCCCACTGTATAGAAGTGCGACCTTTCCGCGAATTAGCGCGGATAGCACCGCAGCATAGCGGACTCGAATGCAGGTGGGCAGGTTCAGCACCTTGAACTCCAGCCATGAGCTAGTGCCCAGTTCTCAGTGTTTCTACTTTCTGTTTGTAGTGTTCAGTCTAGTAGCTATATTATCTAGGCATGTGACCTGCGGGTATCTGGTTGCTTCCTTTGAATCAAATCAGAACTTTTAACAGCTAGAGTCGCTCTCTTCCTAAGGGCTTAACAACTCCTGAACACTCTTATGGATGCATTATAGCTGAAACCTCTCTTGTTTCAGGTTTTCCAGTTGCAAGTCGATAATGGCATCCCGATAAAGAGCTGGTTTGACGACCCCGCGGACCAGGAACTGGTCGAGTTACTCCCATTCCTCGAGACCCTTGTTGATGCAGAGGACGTAAGGCCACTAATCTCAAGGACTTTTCACGGCACCATCCAGCAGGATTAGATTTAGATGCATCATTGTCGTGCACTGAGCCTGAGCCTGCGAACTTATCTTGGGAAATTAGGTATAGGATCAGCATTCACCATTTATGTTATGTTGGCTGTTACAGATAGCAAGCATAAACTGCATGTCGCCATGGCTTGTATACGTAGTATTGCTCGGGTTTTCTGTGTGGCAGGTCTGTGTAAATAAATTATAGTATTGAATAAAGTGATCTGAGTCCAGTTTTGCTCTGAGGGGCCTCTCAAGCAGCAGTCACAGAGTAGCTGACTATGCCTGAAGCTTTCACCTACACAAAATTCTCCCTAAATCTCTATCCTGGTTGTAGAACAGTCGTAAAATTCAATTTTATTTTTGGAATAGCGCCCAACACGAATGCTTTGGCGTACGTGTGCGTGATGCGCCTAAAAGTGTGATAAGACTGCCTCACTGTTATTATTTCTTTCTTTAATTAACTGATAAGCGTGTGCGTGAGGAAACCAGACTCCTTTTTTTTTTGTTATTAGATAGAAAACCAATCTCCATGCCCTTGTGAAGCGTTCTCTTCACCACCACCGAAATGCTTCTTAGCAAAGGGGCAGCAAGCTAAGAGGGTGCTTGGATACAAGGGACTATTTTTAGTCTGACTAAAAATAGTCTTTTTTAGAGGCTAAAGTTCCCAGCACCCCTGACTAAAGAGAGGCTAGGACTAGTCTTGAGGCTAAAATCTTTTAGTCATGGGAAACCTACTAAAATATGTATTAGCTCTCTCTCTCCTCATTTAATTCCTTTCCTTAGTTCTGGATTGGAGGGTTTGGAGGATAATAAATGCTCAATAACTAGATTTTAGTCTCTTTAGTATTTGGATCCAAGCATGGGTGAGACTAGCAAGTTTTAGTCCCACTACTTTTAGTCATGGGACTAAAACGTACCCAAGCATGCTCTAAGACTAGGGACTGTACTCTTGGCGACGAAAACTCAGGGTTTGCGCAACATTGCGTCTCAGCGAGCTAAGATGGGATGACGCTCATAACTGGCGAACTGGAGAACGAACGATCATCAGGGAGGGTGGAACACGCAAACGTTTTTTATGGAATTTTTAGTTCTCAGGGGGTGGCATTTTCTTCATAGCGACATGGCAGTTTCTTCAGAGAAGACAATTTTCATTTAAAAACTGCCGTGGTTTGATTTATTTTCACAAGTAGAATTGCCATCAAATGTGATTTGCTCCGAAGATGAAATTGCCGTTTCGCCCCAAAGGGCAAACAGGAAATGATCATCTGCGTTTGCCATGTTTAAAACCGGTGACCACTGATTCAACTACCTGGTGGCAATTATCACCTGCAGCAGAAGTGTGCTTTATAAGTTTATATATATCTTTCTGAAGTTGCACATTGATGACAAACATCTCTATACAACAGGAAACGGGTTAGCATTCCTTCCTTTCCCTTCTGTCTCCTCGCCCTAGAAAAAGTAACCGGCGCCTAAATAGCTCAGATTACAAGCCACTGGACTGACTACCCACCCCCATCCAGTGTGCACACAGGCAGATACAACAAGCTGATGGCCCGAAACAGAACGAAGAGCTTCACACGCTTCCAGATCAGACAGCAAACATACATCAAACCCCGGGCTGCCCTGCGCTGTAAACCTTGTGGCATCCCCACCCAAGCTTGATCCGCCACTTCGTTTCTCGCTGTTTCGTTAAGCCACCAGCCGCACTCCAGGAAGGCATGTCGGATGCGCCTGACTGGCCACTAATACATCTGCGACATACCGTAGGGAACAACGCCGACCTTCCTGTGAGTACTTGCCGCCACTCCTGTTGTAGTTGGAGCTATGCCATTAAGGGATCTCGAGTATAGGTTTGATTCCGCTGATAGCCTATCAGAAGAACCCCTTTTCGGCCCTGCTGACTGATGGAAGGGAGGTGCTCTCATGTCCAGAGCAACATCAGGCACAGTTGAACTGTTTGCGCAAGCATAGGCCTGCTGGTGCAGCGTATACACTTCGGCCTGCGATGGCTCGGAGCAAGCTGACTTTGCCGGTGTCTGATAATAACCGTATATTTGCGGGATTTGTTGTTGGGGAGGATAACCGGAGTTCATTGCTGCCACTCTTCGTGGGTCATATGTATCCTTCATGCCACCATTTTCGTAAGGCAGAACTGGACCAACAACCCTTCCTGGTCTTGCTGTATAATTGACAACCATTATATGATTAGATTAAAACTAGTACCAGCTAAGCACGTATATCAAGCATGGACTAGAAAGCACCTGTTGGCACTCTTTGTGGAGCCTGTGAGGTTCTCTGGACATTGCCAGAATATTTTTCTGAATCTCGATGATTTTTATAAGACTCGTCAGGCGAAGGCTTATCCCTTGATGGGCCAATACGGGGTTGTTCCTTGCCATGAATTGGAGCTGAGTGAACAATAGTAGACCTGTAAAAACGTTAACAGATGTTTCATGAATCAATTTGCAAGAATTAAATGTCCAGCCAGGTAGACTGCAAGAGAATCAATACATCCTGCATCAATGTGCACTAATCAACTATCAGGTTGTGAGAGCTGAGATTCCGAATATGAAGTGTGTATCATCTCCTGGCATGTCAACATGGCCCAAATTTTATGCTTGCTATTTTGTTAGGAACTGTTTAGTTAACATTTAGTGGTCATTACGATTTCACTTTATTAACATATTTTGTCATATTTTTATCATTCTTTTAGCAATAAATATGGATTTTACAACAGCGGCCGGTCAGCAGCGACGGCAGAACGCTAGTAAGGCCGTGTGGGGCGTTGCGGTGTGCCAGGGATCCCTCCATCGGCCGTTGCTCAGAGGCGGGATGCGAGCGTGGCGGTGTAGTCCTAGGTCCTAGCGGCGTGAGGGAGATGGCAGCGTTCGGTTTGACTGTTCATGGCATGCAGGCGTGATGTGTGTGGCTGCATGCGCCCTAGTCTCAGCGAGATGCCAAAATGCATCTCACAGCAGGCCTTGGCTATTACTTGGCCTAAACCCTACAAGGTGGTTTTCTTCGGATTTTCAGTTAACCGGGACTCAAAACTGAATTTGACTGCACCAGTTCGGTTAGTCAATTCTACAAACCGAATTTTCAGCTGCCAACTGAAAAACCCAATAATTCATTTTAATTTTTGCCCAGCTCTAGCTACATACATTGAAGTCCAAAATGTTATTCATTATGCCACCACGTCAACATTGGCTCATTTCACCTTCTTGTGAAAGCATATTAAGACAACATTGTCATCGGAGTTAAAGTGTGGCCAATGTCGGTGTTCCAAAGTTCCAAACTGAAGCCAAAAATGCCATTCATTGTGTCATATTAGCATAGGTTTGTTTCACCTTCTTGTCTAACCATATGAAGACAACATTATTATTAGACGAGGTGAAGTGTGACAAATGACGGTGTGCCTAAGTTCCAAACTGTGACCCTGACCAATCTATTAAGCTCTGATGTGTGCCTTTTAGCTGTTTTGAACTCCTGCCGCGAATATAATAAAAGGTAGAGAAAGAAATATCATGGAACAATGAAGGTTACCTAGGAAGAGAGGTGTGCTTTCTATCCATTGGAACTACAGGGCCGTTCTCACTATTTTCTTCAAGATGAGCAAACTGCTTCCTAAATTGATCAACAGCACTGCATAAACAAGGGTAGAGAAGTGTCCTAGTCAGTAGACTGTGCAGAGATACAATGAAAACAAAGGTCAAAGCATGAGCAAAAGCACCATCTAATTCCAAAGATATTATTGCTCAGACCTTGGGTATAGAAAGGTTGTCCTTTCAGTTCCATTGGTGTAGTCTTTGAGCAATTGTGGATGGTATTCCAATATCTCACGAAATATAAGCTCCCTTATGTCTTCTTTTGTCACTCTTCTACGCTCAAACTCAAACTCCATTTTTGTGATTGGTTGGCAGGATGGTTCTCTCTCAACCTTGGCAAGCCCTTTAAAGTACGGATGAGACAATGCCTGACAGAAATCACAAGTTTCCAAATAATGTCACTTTATGCACCTCAATAACTCAAAAGTACAAGACACTGTGCCAGCATAAGCAGGGCTGTAAAAACACTACCAATGTACCTCTTCAGCAGTTGGGCGGTCCTTTGGATCAAACGCTAAAAGCCTTTGCAACAGGTCTAAGGCCAAAGGATCTGCATTGGGAAATTTATGCGAAAATGAAATCAGCTCTTTCTTTCTCATGCTGCTCAGATACCTCCTTGCTTTCTCATTCCGGACCTGGAAAGGAAGAACCTATTAATGTCAATTGGATAACCGACCAAATAGACTATAGAAGGATTCCCAAATAAAACCAGCACTATACCCGAGAGATTGTATCCATAGATGGTGTGCCCAGAAGATCAGTCATCAGATCTAACTGATGTACAACATTTTTACCAGGAAACAAAGGTTTTCCTGTCAAGACCTCAGCAAAGATGCATCCGATGCTCCAGACATCAATGGCGGGTGTATACTGCAATTTTGTTAACAGAGCATTTATGTTAGAGAAAAACATGCATGAGTAACAAGTTACTGTTTATCAGTATCGCATCATGATAATGTTCATTGAGAATAATCAAATATAACAATGCCTGAGATGCTTTCACAAGTCTTAACACAAATATAACTCATATGATTTTTAACAGCTCCTACCGAGAACGATACGAAGTCAAGATTCTATGTAGCATAGATTGACATAGAAATGGAGTAACTTCATGCTTGAGCACTCAATGCATGATCAACAATGCGATAAGGAAACAACAAACGTATGGTTATGACAGTGGGGAAAGTCAAAGTGATGGTTTGCAGATTAAATTAGCTTTTCACACAGAAGCAGAGCTTGTTCCAATAAAAGGTGCTGTGCTCCCATAAAATGTTCTATAAGATCTGTGGGGAAAATGAGGTTTCATGCCACAGCATAAATAAGCTTGGAACAAAACTAATGGACCAATCACCGAAGAAGAATGGTTTGTATTAATAGGTCGATTAATGGTAACGAAAGATGCATGGTATGGCAACGCAGCACCATTAGTCTACCGTTATATCAGTCTGTCAGCTCAATGCTTTAACCAAAATTCAACCAAGAGAATGCTAATAATGGAGGGAAGCTTACCTTTGAAAAGAAGGAACCACAGAGCTCTGGAGCTCTATACCATCTTGTCGCAACATAATCCTGTAGTGCAATTGAACAAATAGACATCATGATGATTAGCTCAAATCAAACAAGTCAGAAATGTAAGGATGGCAGGATATAGGTTTTCCTTGAAATATACCGTCCAAAAGATTGTTGTGGGGGTATCGTTGAATGCAACTCGTGCCAATCCAAAATCACAAATCTTCAGTTTGCAGTTGGAATTTGCCAATATATTCTTTGGCTTTAGGTCCCGGTGATAAACATTAGCTGCAGTTACATATGGCCATAGTATCAGCAATGGGTGCAGGCAGCAAAAGTAGCACGACTGGACATGTTATTTATACAGATTTTGTTCATGGAAAGAACTGTGGAGATGCTCCTTTTTGGTTGTTGAAAAGACTACCACCACGCGGGTATACCATTTGAACCAGCAAATATGTATTATCAGGAAATTGCGTAATATAAAATCTCTAAATCATGAGGTAACAACACGCACTCTATGAAAGAATATCTATCCTGGTGTTCACCACCTAATGCCTACAAAGATTAAGATAATTAGCTGTTTTTGAGCATATTTTGAATTCAAGTGATGGGCATATATTTATCACCTCTCTTCTCTACCCAACCAGCATGGCACTAGTTGGTACAGATTTTATTGCTATGAACTCAATAACCGCAGCTAATCTAATACTCCCTCCAATCCAAAAAAAGTGTCGCAGCTTTGAACTAAGGTTAGTTCAACTTTAGTTCAAAGCTGCAACACTTGTTTTGGATCAGAGGGAGTATATGTCATATGGAAATTATTTGAATATGCTAGCGATACCGTACATACGGCACCAACCATAAGCGTTCGGGTTTATTTAGCTAGTATATCTAACTGGAAGGTGGTGACCTGATACAAGTTCACTAGAGCAAATATACTGCATGGTCCTGCGACATATGATTTCCAGAAAGATAAGAAATCGGTATGTTACCTACCAGTGTGAATGTATTTCAGAGCCCGGAGTAATTGGTAAAGAAAGAACTGGTAATGCTCCTTTGTCAAGTCATCATTAGCCTTTATAACCTGGTGGAGATCAGACTCCATGAGCTCAAAAACGACATAAATATCTTTGAAGTCTCTTCTCGATGGAGGCAACATAATATGCTTGATCTCAACAATGTCAGGATGTCTTAAGAGCCTCAGAAGCTTGATCTCACGGAGAATCCGTGCAGCATCAGATATGTGCTCAAAGATATCATGTATCTTTTTTATCGCCACTTTCTCTCCGGTGTGGACGTCTATTGCGGAGCACACGACACCATAGCTGCCCTTTCCAACGATTTCCTGAATCTTGTATCGACTTGCGTCGCCGTACTCCGTAAAAAACTCGGCCTCTGCGGAACTCTGGAAAAGAATTGCAGATATCATGTCAAATACATTTCACAAATCTGTCACTGGAAGCTCGTCAGAAGCTCCCGACGACAAGAAGCTTGAGTGATCAATGGACCATCAGTTCTCGCAATCATATACGTATATACAAACAATTGATGTCACGCTGTCAAGCAAAGCAGAAATGGCACGGTAGGTGGTGGGTCGCAAAAATGATGACAGATCTCCAGATACTTTTAATGGACGACATGTAAAATAACTAATCATTGGGAAGCTACAACCAGTATTAAGGAATAGATGCTAAATTCAACTGCTGTGCAGGTAGATGAAGAAATTTTCTTGAGGAGCAAGATCTTGAAGCATTCGCTGCGCAACTGAAATCGTGACACGCGCCACTTGTGAGTCAAGTGCTCGTGCACAGATCGGGGAGAAGAGAACCCCGCAAGAAAAGCCAACAGCTTTGCCCACCGACAAGGAAAAGCAACGGCCACAATGTCTTTGCGCGGGCAGCCTCTCGAGGTCACAGAACGCGGTCAACTTTTGCATGTGAATTGCGAGCTATAGTAATAAAGGAGCGCCAAATTACACCTTTATTCCCAAATATAGAAGGAAGACTGCCGCATAACTCAACGCGATGCGACGGGGGTGCGGAAAATGCATGGGACAAGAAGGTGAAAGCGAGAAGGACCGACATGATCATATTAGAGATTCATGTTACAGAGGGAGGGAAAAGATCGGGGACGGCTAACGAAAATACTGCCAAAAAATACCTACCCTTGTGGGAATAAAAATAAACTCAAACATCCGGATTGACACGGCACTGAAATGAGAATAGTGATACGGCGGCGGAACGTCAAATCTATGGGAGTGATGCCCAGAAGAGAAACAAGAAACTGTGCCGAACAGAAAGGGAAAAGGAAGGCTTGAACGGACAGAGACCCCAAACAAGGCAAAGCATTCCCTCGAAATAATAATAATAGTAAAAAGGAAGCGCAGGAGCAGCTCAGCTGCATGAATCAGCTGGACTGGGGCGGAATTCACGCGCACAAAAATGCTAGGGATCTCTGGGAAGGAGCCGACCTTCTTGCGCTGATCCTGCTGCATCTCGCCGCTCACCGGATCTCGCCCAGAATCTCCTCAGCTCCCCCGTACCGTAAGGTAAGGGCGGCAACGACAACACCAAGCCCGCCTCCGAATGGACACGGTCAGACACACGGCATTTGCCGGCGCCGGGCCGGGCCGGCGAGGACGAAAAGCGCACACGCCGCAGGGCGCCGGCGGACGGATCGTGAGACGAGACGAGACGAGGCGACGAAGGGAGGGCGGGAAACTGGGGGGGAGACCCTAACCCTAGCGACGGGGCGCCGGGCCAGGGCTAGGGCTCCCTCTCTCTCTCTCTCTCTCCCCCCTGTTCCTCCTCCTCCTCTGCTGGTCTGCGCTCGCGCTCCGCGAGGGGAATAAGAAAGAGAGAGAGAGGAGGAGGACGGGTGGAGAGGAGGCAGGCAGTGTGTTTGGCTTGTTTTTGTTGCCATGAAATGAAATGAAAGGAATCCTGCTTTGATTTCCGTGCGCGGACGGACGAGATTGCCCCTCCCCGGTTGGCCGCCTGTCGTGGGTCGCGTCGCGTGGGGGTTGGCACCCATTTTCTCGCTTCAGGTTTGCTCCTCCTTTCTTCGCCTCGTCTGACCCATTTTTATTTAATTTAATTTAATGCTGATGCGCCCTGCCTGCTTTGTATACGGTGGATTACTACCGGTGGGCGGTCGGTGACCACGGGAAAATGGAGGTGGCTTTCCAAATGTCAAATCCCTTTTGGTATCTTCTCATAATCAGTGGTGGTTTATGCTCGATTCCTCGGCCATTTGTTATGGTTCCAAATCTATTTTTGGACTACTATAGTTTGAATTCTCGCTCCGGTGAGCCAGTGTCATTATCCGTTTGCGCTGTTTTAGGAATCGATATCATGACATTCATTGCGTACTATCTAGTCTAGACGAAAAAATGCATGAAACTTTTCTCCTGTGGATTTAAATTTATTTGGATTTAAACATCAGACTAATGCAGGAAGGGGTGTATCAAACCCTAAACGCTCAGGAGTGAAGCATGGTGCACTGACCACTTGGACACATAGTGCTTCGTGTGCAACCGCAACTTGAATTTGATATTTTTTGGTAGCTATTCTTTTTTGAATTTGAAATTTGTTTGATATTTTCAGGCAAAAAATTCCAAAAATACAGAGATTTTCCAAAAACCGGATTTTCTTGTCCCTCCCAGAAAAAAATTCTAAATCGAGGGGGGAAAACCTTGTTACATACACACCGATAATCCAAAATAAGTAAAATTCGTTCTAATTTAGAGACGGTATCTTTAAAACACAAAGTTGAAAGTGACACTAGATTACCATCACATTTCACTCAACACTAAGAAAAATTATGATACATACATTCCCAATCTTTGGGAATAAATGGGAGTATAGACTTTTTATAGTCACCCGTGAGCAACTTTGCAAATACTCTCTCCGTTCTGTAATTAAGATGTTTTTGCAAGTTGTTTTAGCTTGCAAAAACATCTTATATTACGGGACGGAGGAAGTAATATTTATACGCATATCTTGGCAAATAATCACAGAATACTATGTTCTAAATTTATAATTATAAACCTTGCCAATTCTATGATTGAATTATGTCGCCTCGTTTGCTTCCTTTCTTCTACCACACCTTTCTTTTCTCCCTTTTGATTTTGGTTCTTAGCTTGCGACTCACTTTCGATCGATCGTTGGCCTCCATCTGGTTAAACAACGTGATGGACAACCAACGTGCTGCCCTCCTTTTTTTTTCCCTTTCTAGGAACGCCAACCAACGTGCTGCCCTTGTTTATGTGATATATGCGTATATCGTGGCTATGGCTAGAGTAAACCTAGCAATGCACGTATCTGACTGTGACATTAGCACTTAAGCTACAGGTTAGTGGAGCTTAATAATTTGCTGGTGCCTGAGGATTAGGTGGCGGGCATTTGTTTTGGAATTGAAGTTTCAACTAATTAGTGTGCCCTTTAAGTTGCATCCTCAAGGGTGATGCTTTTCCATAAATAAATAAAATGTTCCATTGTACGACTTTCTTCAGGGAAAGAATAGTTTGCTACTGCCATTTCAAAACTTGAGCGTTCCCCTGAGATTGATTAAGTTAATTCTGATGTGGCTTATTTTGTAAGCACCACCAGGAGCTTTCATATTCAGCATCAGCTGACACAACCACCGGACTACTATCAAAAGGAAGAGAGGACCGCTAGAGGTTAGACTAGCTCTAGAAGCAAAGGGGGGCGTTAAATGCTAAGGAATAGATTACATATGTGTTAGGTTGTGTGAATAAGTTAAACTCCGACTTTGGCCCGCTTTATCTCTCGAGGCAGGCTCACGCACCATTTTATAGATAAAATTGGATGATCAAACAATACAAGTGTTTGAGGAAACTCTCTTACAAAATTGATCAAATAATAGTTAGACAAAACAAGAAAAACAACGGCACCAATACATAAGAAATGCACTAGAGGGCGCCGTTGGCTTGCCGCCAAGCAAGAGAACATGAGCGGCATGAATGCAAAAAAAGGTGCAGCAGGGAACCGGAACGCAAATAAACTGCGGTTCCTAGAAGAAACCACCCACTTCATCAGGCTGGTCATAGTGGGGAGTAGTGACTTAGAGTAGTAACATCATACGTTACTACTCTATGTTATTACCCTTATAGTGGAAAGTGTCATATGTGTAGTAACATACACATGTTCATTTATTGTCTTGTAGACTCATTTTGCATTGGAAAGCGCTATGTGATGGTAACATATTAGATTACTCTATTTGTCTCTTTCCTCATTAACTACTTGCCACATCAACATTTTTGTTTATGTGGCATCTATGTTACTACCTATGTTACTCCCACTATGACCAGCCTCACCGCCTTCCCACTGAATTGCCGCGGAAAGGGCCTTCTGCCCTCTCACTTCGTATCAAGGATCACCGATCTTGCCAGCGAGCAGAGAGTACCAAGAGCCCAAACCATAGGGCCACATGTATATGAGAGGACCAAACAAGGCTCCCAAAAGACGGAGCCTGAGATGCATAGTGTCACAGTCCATGCTAGCCCGATGACTGTACGCACCGCCACTCGGAGAACATATACTTCCCCAATGACCCCCCCCCAAGATCGTAACGACGGCACGCGCCGCCATCATGACTTTCGTCGCCGCATGCATGACTTTCATTGGGAGCACGAACATGGGAGGGAGGATTTGTTGGGGAACGTTGCAGAAAATAAAAAAAATTCTACGGTTTCACCAAGATCCATCTATGAGTTCATCTAAGCAACGAGTCATGGGAGAGATGAATCTACATACCACTTTGTAGATCGCGAGTGGAAGCGTTCAAAATAACGGGGTTGAGGTAGTCGTTCTCGTCGTGATCCTATCACCGGAGATCCTAGCGCCGAACGGACGGCACCTCCGCGTTCAACACACGTACCGTCAGCGTGACGTCTCCTCCGTCTTGATCCAGCAAGGGGGAAGGAGAGGTTGATGATGATCCAGCAGCACGACGGCGTGGTGGTGGATGCAGCAGAACTCCGGCAGGGCTTCGCCAAGCTGCTGCGGGAGGAGGACGAGGTGTAGCAGGGGGAGGGAGGCGTCAAGACTTGGGTTCGGCTGCCCTCCCTCCTGCCCTCCTTTATATAGGCCCCCGGGGGGCGCCGGCCCTGGGAGATCAATCTCCCAAGGGGGGGCGGCCAAGGGGGGTGGAATGCCCCCCAAGGCAAGTGGTGCGCCCCCCCACCTAGGGTTTCCAACCCTAGGCGCAGGGGGCCCAAGGGGGGCGCACCAGCCCACTAGGGGCTGGTTCCCCTCCCACTTCAGCCCGCGGGGCCCTCCGGGATAGGTGGCCCCACACGTTGGACCCCCGGGACCCTTCCGGTGGTCCCGGTACAATACCGGGTGACCCCGAAACTTTCCCGATGGCCGAAACAACACTTCCTATATAGTTTTCTTTACCTCCGGACCATTCCGAAACTCCTCGTGACGTCCGGGATCTCATCCGGGACTCCGAACAACATTCGGTTTGCTGCATACTCATATTCATACAACCCTAGCGTCACTGAACCTTAAGTGTGTAGACCCTACGGGTTCGGGAGACATGCAGACATGACCGAGACGGCTCTCCGGTCAATAACCAACAGCGGGATCTGGATACCCATGTTGGCTCCCACATACTCCTCGATGATCTCATCGGATGAACCACGATGTCAAGGGTTCAAGCAACCCCGTATACTATTCCCTTTGTCAGACGGTATGTTACTTGCCCGAGACTCGATCGTCGGTATCCCAATACCTCGTTCAGTCTCATTACCGGCAAGTCACTTTACTCGTACCGTAATGCATGATCCCGTGACCAGACACTTGGTCACTTTGAGCTCATTATGATGATGCACTACCGAGTGGGCCCAGTGATACCTCTCCGTAACACGGAGTGACAAATCCCAGTCTTGATCCGTGTCAACCCAACAGACACTTTCAGAGATACCTGTAGTGCACCTTTATAGTCACCCAGTTACGTTGTGACGTTTGGTACACCCAAAGCACTCCTACGGTATCCGGGAGTTACACGATCTCATGGTCTAAGGAAGAGATACTTGACATTGGAAAAGCTCTAGCAAAACGAACTACACGATCTTGTGCTATGCTTAGGATTGGGTCTTGTCCATCACATCATTCTCCTAATGATGTGATCTCGTTGTCAACGACATCCAATGTCCATAGTCAGGAAACCATGACTATCTGTTGACCAACGAGCTAGTCAACTAGAGGCTTACTAGGGACATATTGTGGTCTATGTATTCACACGTGTATTACGATTTCCGGATAATACAATTATAGCATGAATAAAAGACAATTATCATGAACAAGGAAATATAATAATAATCCTTTTATTATTGCCTCTAGGGCATATTTCCAACAGTCTCCCACTTGCACTAGAGTCAATAATCTAGTTACATTGTGATGAATCGAACACCCATAGAGTTCTGGTGTTGATCATGTTTTGCTCGCGAGAGAGGTTTAGTCAACG